GTTGTCTACTTTTAATGTCTCCTTTCAAAAAAAAAAACATTGTAATTCAACAAAAACGGCAAAATAGTATTTGGTGAAAAAAAGACACCATGAATTGATGGGACAACTACTTCATTGATTCTCTTAAATTATCTTTGAAAAAAAAAAAAAATTAATTGCAAGGGGGTTCCACGTGTCTATTACGAGAACCGATTTCTCGTTTCTTCAAAAAAAATCGTTTAGTGCAGGAGTTTAATTTATATTGAAATAAAATTAAGTGTTTATTTGAGAGTGCTGAAATTATAATTTAAGAGTTCCAGAAAATTTGGTCAGCTTAAATTATAATTCAAACTTTGTCACACGTGCGCCAAGACTCTAAATTTATTTGTAACTATACAATATAAAATTTGTAATGAAATTCATTGTTACCAAAACTCCATGACTCAAGATTAACTTAATATAACTTGGATGAAGCTCAAATATTTTGACAAGAAGAATCTTGATAGTTTATAAAGCCATATTGCTATAACTAATGTCAATATTCAATTAAATAATTTTCTCTGAACTCTGTGTTTATCAAGATTTTTATGATTTTTCAGTAAAATTTAACTTATAACGAAAGTTCAAGAATGGACTCGACTCACTTCAAACCAGGTTAAACAACCTATTAGGACCATTACATCTTGGCAACGACAACAAACTGAAAAATATTTTTCGATGAATAAAGGGCAAAGTTATAAAACTATCAAAGAATATTAACAAAAAGAAAGAAAGAAATACATAATCAAATTGGTTAGATATCTGACGCTTTCGCTGGAGTGGGTGAAATGAAGTTTAAAATTCCAAGTGCAGAGTTATCATTGGGTAGAGTCAATGGTGGCCGGCAGTGTTGGATAATCTTCTATCCAAGTTATGAAAGTGGGCCCACTTCAACATGCAAATGACGTGGAATTATTGGAACCAATATATTTGAATTTTGCTACTCTTGCAGCCTTACTTCACATTCCGGTTCACAGCTTTTCAAATTTGAAGACGTGGCAGTGGATAGTATTAAAAATATCCAAAACTTTTTCCCCAAGCCGCCTCCACCTTTTCCCTTTAATCACCCCACCCCAGTCATTACTTATTACCCACCCCCTTTATCATGTAAATAATGTTTTTTTTTTAGTTTTTATCTCAATTTTTGAAATTATT